AAGGACTTCAACACAATCTTATCAATGTATCACATCTGGTAGTTAGCACTGGACTGAAAGTATCATTTGACGATGAAGGATCACAGATTGTCGAGAAGAAAATTAACAACGTTCTACTGAAGTCAAAATGAAAGGGAGAAATGTACCCTTTGAACCTCAACCCCATTTGGGGCAAACCAGCAGTTTGCCTGCTCACTAAAGCTAACTCCGATGAAAGCTGGTTATGGCATCGAAGACTCTCTCATCTAAATTTCAAGGATATCAACAAGTTGGTTTTGGGCGATAATGTTCGAGGACTTTTGGTTCTAAAATTTGATACAGAACATCTTTGTGCAGCATGTGAAATGGGAAAGCGGAGTAAGAAAAGTCATCCTTCTATTATCAATACTAAGGTAATAGAACCATTGGAACTGTTACATATTGATTTATGTGGTCCCTCGTCCATTGAAAGCATTGGGGGAAACAAATACATTCTTGTTATAGTGGACGATTTCTCTCGTTTCACTTGGGTGTTCTTCTTAAAGAAAAAATCTGAAGCTACTCCAAGGCTCAAGCTCTTCATAAAACAGGTCGAGACTCAACTAAGGAAAGTTGTTCGCAACGTCAAAAGTGGCAATAGCCTGGAATTCAAGAACAAAGACTTTGAAGACTTTCTCGCTGAAAAGGGAACGACTCACAACTTCTCAGCTCCATACACTCCACAACATAATGGTATTGTTGAAATACGAAACCGATCTTTATGTGAAGCAGCTCGCACAATGCTATGCTTCGCTTCCTTATCGCTGTATTTTTGGGCCGATGCAATTGCCGCTGCTTGTTATACCCAAAACAGATGGTTTTTGAACAAACGATTCTCTATCACTCCTTACGAGATCTTGAACAATCGTAAACCAAATGTGAAATTCTTTCATGTGTTCGGATCAAGATGCTTCGTGTTCAACTCAAGAGAGAATCAGAACAAGTTTGATGCAAAGGCTGATGAAGGAATTTTCTTAGGCTACTCCCTGAACTCTAAGGCGTATCGAGTTCTCAATAACCGCTCAAAGAAGATTGAAGAAACATACTATGTCACCTTTGATGATAGTTATGTTAAGGAGGCAAAATCAACAAATGGTGCAACGCAAGAGATCTTTCCAAAGAATGGTAAAGTTACAGCCTCTCTTTCAAATCTTTTCGAACAATACTTGCTTTTGTTTGACGAGCCTCAAAAGGCAATTGACTATGAATCAATGGCAAAAGACAACAAAGTTGATAGACTAAAACAAATTATTGATGAAACTGCTCAAAAGATGGCTGATGATCAATATAAAGAAATCGAAAGGCCAGAAGCAAGCGAACCTGCAAGTGACCGTCCTAATGTTGAGGGGGTGGGTCCATCTCTTTTTTATGATCAAGGTTCATCGTTCTAGGGGGAGATCTCATCACCTCATTCTTCAAGCTCTTCTGAGATTCCACTCAAAGAAGGGAACACCAATCCTGATACCAAACAGGCGTCAATCTTCGAGGGGGAGAACACCAATGTTAGTGATGATGACATTCTGTCCGAGCTAGAGGAAGAAATAAATGTTGAATTGGATCCCATCTATGATCCAAATTTCCCTCCACTAATCAAATGGACCAAAGATCACCCTCAAAGTCAAATTATCAGGGAATCTTCAGAAAATGTGTTAAATCATTCTCAAATCAAAGCAAAACATGTTGCACTTTTCTCTAAAGTAGAGTTTTGCATGTTCAACTCCTTTGTTTCCAAAGTTGAACCGAAAACTGTTAACTCAGCTCTTGATCATTCAGACTGGGTTCAAGCCATACAAGACGAATTAAATGAGTTTGAAAGAAACAAAGTATGGCATCTTATTCCAACTCCAACGGATGCTTCTGTTATTTGTCTCAAATGGGTATTCAGAAACAAGATAGACAAGGAAGGGAATGTCATTTGTAACAAAGCCAGGCTAGTGGTCAAAGGATACTGTCAGGAAGAGGGAATCGATTATAAAGAGACATTCGCTCCAGTTGCAAGATTAGAGTCTGTTCGTATCTTTCTTTCTTATGTAGCTCACAAGAACATTGAAGCCTATCAAATGGACATCAAATGTGCCTTTATCAACGGTGAACTTGAATAAACCATATATGTTGAGCAACCGCCAGGCTTCATGAACGAGAACTATCCAGATCATTGTTAGGCCATAGACAAAGTTGTATATGGCTTAAAACAGGCTCCTAGAGCATGGTATGAAACTCTCACTCATTTCTTAAAAATGTATAAATTCAAAAAAGGTTCGATTGACCCAACCTTCTTTCATAATTGAGAAGGTAACCACCTTATGATAGTCCAACTTTATGTTGATGACACCATCTTTGGTACCATTTTATCAAGGATCACGTCGAAGATGGTAACGTAGAAATTCACTTTGTCAGAATGACTGATCAACTGGCAGACATATTCACAAAGGCCTTACCTGAAGCGAGCTTCAATAAGATTCTACAAGGCCTAGGAATGATGCAAGTTGAATCGGTACCAAAATCGCCTTCGCTTTCATAAAGGTAACAAGCGAAATAGAGCGAACCGAAATGAACCGGAATGAACCGAACGTTCGGTCTATTTCGCGTTCAGTCTATTTCGGGTGAAGTTCGACCAAGAACCAAAATGAACCGAACGTTCGGTCTATTTCGGGTTCGGTCCTTCTGAACTCATTCGCTTCTTTTTCTTAACAAGGCATTTTAATTGTATTCTTTTGTAAACTTTCTCATTCCCTCTTTTCCACATATAAAGTCCAAAAATATTTTTCTCTTTTATTATCATAAAAATACTTATAAAATACAAAAATATTTTTCTCTTTCGTTCAATTGGTCAATTCTCACAAAATACAACAAAAATGATCTAACATTTTTTTGTCTAAGTGTGTTTCTCGATGGCAAAGCTAAGGCATGTAAATGGTTTATGAGTTAGGAGTCCCTAGAAGCATGCTGTTGTATGTTGACTAAAGCCTCAAAAGACTTTTAGTGAAGCCTTAATAACATGATATATACAAATCATGTTTTCCCATTTCAGGCTGTAATATTCACTCTAATCATGAGCTACCTTACTCTACTCATATTGAGTTTAGAGTTTTCTGCTTGGTCACTCTTTTTATTTAGAGCAGAGGTACATTCGTTTCCTATACCATCTCCAATATTTTTCTGCATTATACTTCGTGTCACCAATATAACCCCTGAGACTCTCAGCATTTACCACTGAGGTTTATGGTTATACAAAATTTGTGTTAATGATCTTAGTCTCATGCCACTATGTACTGACTGAAACCCACAATTCAACACCTCAAATGAATTGATGGTGAATTCTCATATTCCAGAGCTTACTTGTTACTTAAATAAATCTCTTTTTATTTTTACGTGATCAATTATTAATTTGTCTAAAACCAAAGCTTTCTTCCCTTAAAGATCCAAATTTTTTTTTTGAGATTTCTATACTTCCCTTTGTCACTATAAACGATATCTTACCTACTTGTTCAACAGATCACAATGATCTCACAAGTACTTCATTCAGTTTTGGTCTCATGTCGAGTATCGAATTCATGAATTGAAGCGAGAGCCACCCTTAATAACCTCTAAAAGATGCCTTTGAATACTTCTTAACAAGTAATTGATCGTTATTTACTGGGAAACCAAGCAAGAACTTCAATGTCTCTCTTGACTTTGTAGGAAGTGATTCATGCCCATAATCCATTGTTTTTTGTCTATTTAAGGCATCACAGATTATCCCAAAACATTTGCTTTATTTCTTTATCTTTCACACTCTATGCACGAAAATGTTAATTTTCCAAACTCTGGTTCTATTAATGGTGTTCAATAAAGCATTACAGGCAATGACAATTTAAATGTTTAAGGAATGACGATTTGGATAAAGTGGAAGCTGACTCATCGTTTACCCAATCAGTTTGGTAATCTAAAAAAACGCAAATTATGGAATGGCGTGCCAAAAAGGAAAAGACCTTTCTCTTTCCTGCATCATCCCCAGTATGCTAACTGTTCACCCGTCAAGTCAGGCGCTATTTTTTAAATAATCCATGATCTCAGCCAGATTTTTCTCTCTCCTACTTGTATGTATAAAAGGAATTCGAACGGTACTCTTTAACCTTTACCACTTCCCAAATTCTCTCAAAGAACAACGGCGATCTCTCCTACTGTTCATCATCTTCTTCAAGTAACTACAACGGTAGATTCTTCGTCAGTTCACGATACTTCCGTTCATCAACCATTACTCACCATCAAACCACAACAGAACCTAATCATCGATCTCACTCTTTTTTTTATGAGCCTTACATGATGTATGTCGTTGAGTATCTCAAATACTCACCTCTTATGGAAGCGCTCACCAAGGTCAAAGTCGTTCCAATGTCGTGACTTTCTCTTAATTACTCTACTGCCTACTACGAAAAGATTCATGAAAGGATTCACTTCGAAATCCACCATGAGAAGACCTCTATCTCCAAGCACCTCTTTTGTGCCCTAATTGGTCTTTCTCAAGATCAATCTATGCTAAATCCAGAATCCATCAACACTGGTCAATTGTTTTCTATGTTTTATCAGATGGGATATACCGAAACACTTACCACCATCACAAAGTTCAAGAAGTCCTGCCTTCCTCCTCAATGGAATGGCCTTTTCATGCTGCTTTTCAAAGGACTCTCTGAGCAAAGCGCTGGCTCAAATGGTGCAAGAAAGTCTTTCATGACTTTGCTATATGGGCTATACCATGGGATCAAATAGATTTTGGGACTATCATCTGGCAGCAGTTGGTACAAAACTTGGTCTCTTCATCTAGGCACTCTGAGATCTCGTGTGGGAGATTTTGGACAATCATCATGAACTGGGCAATGGACCGCCTTCATGTTCCAATCATGGTGGATTCTCTTCTCTCCTCTATTGCTACCTTTCATACTATGAAAATTATTGTCACCGATCCAACCAAGTACTCATTTATTGGATCTATTCCAGAGGCTATGCTCGCTCCTATCTCTGCCTCTAGTAACGCTCTCCAACAATACAGGAAGCATCCTTCTTCAGGTCCGACGGAGCTTACCCTAGCCATGGTTCGCTCTATTGAAGAGGATGACAAACCTACAAAAAGGGGTAAGAAATTGGAAACCCAAAAAGAGGCACAAGTTTCCAAACCCACCAAAGCGAAAACCCCTCAGAAGCGAAAGTCTGATCAGGCTGTTACCTCACCTCCTAAACCGAAGAAGCTAAAGAAGCCCGCTAGGAGGTTAATACTAAAATCTTCGAGTGACTCAGATTCTGAGTATGTTCCTCCCCAACATAAGATTGCTTCTCCTTCAGAATCTGAGAGCGAAAGCTCTGATGATGACACTTCAGGACGAGGTGACACTCCGCCTCATTCTCCTACCCCAGAAATTCCAGTTTGCTCTAACCCTCCTTCACCCCCACCTGTAACCATCCCTGTATCTATCCCTCCCATTTTTCCCATTCCAACCACTCAACCATTCACTATAATTCCCATCCCTACACCCATATTCACAGACACTACCACTACCACAACAGGTGCTTAATCTACCGCCCCTACTCCACCAATAACAAACGAACCACCTATCACAACCGAACCTCCACCTACTTCAAAACCCTTATCTCCCACACAATCCACTAAAACAACCCTTATTCTAGGCGGTGAGGACTTGGAATTTGATTCCACGTATTTCAATCCTTACCGAGCGCAGAGCGATGATGATGACGATGAGCTAGTTACGAAATGTCATCTCAAAGCAGTAAACGAAAATATTGATCAATTGCTCTCATCCTCTTCCTCTGGAGCTCACTCTGAAGAATCTTTAAAGGCCTTGTTCTCATCTGTTGTCAAAGACCATAGTGCCTCACTCTCTGCTGCAGCAAAAGCTATTGAAGCCTCTACTTCACAGTGTCAACAAGCCTCACTTGCTGTTGATGCTTCCACTAAGGAGTGCAAGGAAGCAACCACAAAAGTCAATAACCTAGTTTCTGACGCTCAATTGTTCTTAGATTCCTTGCAGGCTGCTGCTCAGAAGAATGCTCAAACTGTCAATGCTTCAGTGGATAATCTTCAGCGGTCCCTTCAGTCTGACCGATCCAAACATGAAGCTACATGCCAAGCGATTGAAGCTGCAAATGCCTCTCTACATGCTAATATCAATGATCATCTCACTCAACTTGAGGCCGAATTGGCTATATAGAATCGCATCATGGATAAGCTTGACAGGCGCACCTCACAGCTAAAAATGCAAACCCTCAAGCTGCGTACTACTACTATTGAGCTCAACGATCTAAAGTTAGAGAAGGAAGTCGTTCAGAGTTCGATGGCTGATGTTCACTCCATCCTCCTTCATCTCATTGAATCACATGATCCAATCATCACCATTACCACCCGACAGCATCTGGCTGATAAACTTAGGCCAGCATTGGACATCCTTAGTCGTATCGAGGGTGTTCCGGTGACTGGTGTCCAACCGAAACAAGGGGAGAAAAGCAAACTCAAGAAAATAAAACTCAACCTCTTAGTGAACCGAAACCATCAACTAAACCGAAGCGTAATGAAGCTTCGGTCAGTAACAAAGGGAAGAAGAAGAAAAAGAAAATTAAAGAAGATGACACAGATGATGAGGATGACGTATATGCCGAAAATCCTAAAACTATCATGGTGTTGATTCGTTTGGGGTGTTTGAAACCCTAATAGGCCCAAAGAAGCTCAAATGGGCCCAATAAAGCTTAATGGACTCTAATGGACCTAATAAAACCCTAATGGGCTTAATAATATTTTAGTGGGCTTAATATGCCCAATAAAGCTCTAATTGATCTAAAAGTCCAACAAATTAATAAATGGGCTAGTATTTGGGTTGGAATCCCTAATTACGGTTTGGAAAACCCTAATGCCATCAAACCCTAATTTTGGGGAATTAATCGAGACACACGGGACTTATTAATAACTTGGAATACTAAATAATAATCATTGGCGGAAATTAATCTAAGCAATATTGGACTTAATGGATTAAGTCCTTAATGGGTTAAGTAGGAAACCTAACCCTAATCATCATTTTATGTGAAACCCTAATTTCACTTGGATTTATTGTTGGGCCTTTCTATTGGGCCTTGATGACTGGGTTATTAAATGGGCTATCCAAGATCAAGCAAATGGTCTAGAGTAATTTAATGGGCCTAAGGTAAGGCCCATGTAAGGGGCTTGGGCCCAATTTGGAAAATTGGGCCATAGTTTGGCCCTTAATGAATCTATAATGTTGGGCCTTAGAATAAGACCATGTATAGGCCTAGGCCCAATTTGGAAAATTGGGCCATATGTTGGGCTTTGATTTCCTAGTTGGCTTTGGGCCTATGGATTGGGCCTTGGGCTTATATAAGCCAACCTTGGGGTAATGTAGTAATTCTCCAAGTAAGTATTTATGATTATATGTGGGGACCTAATTATTAATTGGGTGTTATTTTGGTGTTGACAGTTCGGGAATCTGTCATCTAATAGCTGGAGTTTTATCTGCGGGACTTCAATAGTGCTAGGTGAGTCTTCTCACCATACCCATGGGTCTACGGCACCAAGGCCGGCCCATTATGTGTTTATGATATATGTGCAATTACCCTATATCTTGATATGTATTGTGATCGTATGTTTTGGATGAAGACCCCGGGGGGAGCCCGTGGACTTGGGTCTAAGACCATGTGGGGTAGCCCATGGTACTCCAAGTAAAGACCATGTGGGGTAGCCCATGGTACTCCAAGTAAAGACCATGTGGGGTAGCCCATGGCCTTGGGTGTAAGACGATGTGGGGTAGCCCATGGTATTGGATGTAAGACCATGTGGGGTAGCCCATAGCAGTCTTAGGTAAAGTCCATGTGGGGTAGCCCATGGCATTCTTGCTGGTTCTTTGCATGCATGGCCTATGTGATCTATTACTAGTATATGTGTATGTGTGGTGTGTGGTATGCTCTGGGGAACTCACTAAGCTTCGTGCTTACGGTTTTCAGTTTTGGTTTCAGGTACATCGTGTTTAAAGGAAAGGAGTCGGCTTGATCGCAGCGCATCACACTATGGTTTTCCGCACACGAGATCTTTGGGATTACACTCTAATATTGTTTTATGATAACATATTTTGGTTATTTCTAATTTGGTTTTGACATGACATGATATTATGGATGTTTCGTACATGGTTGGTTTTATAATAATATATTTAAAAATGAAATTTTTACCCCTGATTTTTGGGTTGTTATAATTTGGTATCAGAGCCTTGGTTTGAGGGATTTGGGCATACTCTTGGGTGTGTCTGAACTCAAACTAAGGACTTGGTATGAAAATTTTTCAAATGTAAAATCATTTTATAAAAGGAGTTTGAAAAGAATTTGAAAAGACAAATAACTTTGAAAGGAACAAGGTGTGTGATGCGTGCAATCAGCCGAGCTCAAGTAAGTTTTGCTATGATACCCATACATCTTGTGATATGTTATGATATTATCTGATTATGAGAACTGCATGCCAGATTAGGGTTGGGGATCTAGAGAGGATGCCTTATATGCCTATTGTATGTGCTTGTAGACTTGCACGCTAGTACTGATCAGTTAGTGATAGGATAGCCTGTTTAGGTTATACCTAATTGTATGAGCCTTTGAATTGCATGTATAGATACCTAATTAGAGGATAGAATAATTTGATTGGAATATTGGATGCCATTCTGGAATGAGAGTGATAACTAGTATTTGTAACTGCTATGTGTATGCTTTTAAAATTGTATATGGTTAGGATCTTATAACCTTAAAATAATAGATTTGGCCTTATTTCCTATTCCTTGTTTGGTTGTGGTCCTAGCGTAGAGTCTATCATTGGACAGTCTATTGGATCCTGTTATGTGTATAATTTGCATTCATAAGGCAGCCAACAGTGAGGATTGATGGATGAGGATAGCGCGAGCTGCGATATGTGGACTGAATGTTTTATGGCAAATCTTTGGGTCGGAGTGCAACTGCACGAATGTTGCTTGCTTTATGCTTCGTGGAACTCCTAAGTGATGGGAGTCAGCTACTAAGTGGATGTGACGACATCCAGGAGGTAGATGATTGGCATTGTGGGGAGTTCTTCAGCAGCTGATGGCAGGGCAAGGTTGAGAACCCAGGAAAGCCTAGGATGTGCTTCAGTGAGTTATGAGGATGGTTTCGTGAGGTTGGGAGCCTAGGGGAAGCCTAGGAGGTGCTTCGGTGGATATTGTTTTGTTGTTTAGCAGATATTCGGTGCATCAATCGGGTAGGTGACTTAGAGGATTCGGGAGGATTATTGGGGAAAGTATGGATAGGTGTGGAAGGTAGTATGGGCCCGTACTATTGAAAGCACAGGATCCATACTCGAATCAGTGAGAGTCTTGTAGAATTTGAGAAGCTTCGGGGAAGAGTTAGTGACCCGGTTTGGGAACAGAGGATGTTCTAGTGTTGCAGCTTGGCTATTAGCAAGTGAGCTAGTGAGCGTGACAGGGTGTCAGACCCTGAAGTATATGTCTTCCAAGAGTTTATAGATACAAGGTCAATTTGGAGAACTTTGAGAAAAGGTTTGTGCTAAGTGAGTATGGTAGAGGGTCCCGGGAAGAGACCCATGACTTCTGATCATTGAGTGAAGGGCCGGCAGGGCTAAAGTCAGTGAAGCACGTACAAGACAGTGCACAAGGGAGTTTGTCACTCCGAGGGTTAGGCTACTATAGGGTAGCGGGGTTGGTCATGTCAGCAGAAGGTGATTAGTATTCCTCCAGATGTTTCGGGTATGTAATATTCTATTGTTATTAGATGGATTTTGGGTATACGTATCGCATTGGAGTTATGAGTAATTTTTGATAAGTTAGATCTCTGGTTGGTTTCGTGTTTGTATTTGGGCTACCAAGGATCATATATGCCATCCCGCATGCCGAAAAGTCCTTGATGAACCCACAGTGAAGACTTAGTCGAATCTATGTGGGGGAGAGACTTCTTATAAGGTTCTCCAAATGTGAGTTTTGGTTGCGTGGGGTGCAATCTCTTGGGCACCTTGTCAACCGGAAGGGTATTCTAGTTGATCCGACCAAGATAGAGTCCGTGATGCGGTGGGAGATTCTGAGGTCTCCATTTGAGATTCGGAGTTTCGTGGGTCGAGCATATTACTATCGAAGATTTACATGGGACCTTTCTGAGATTGCGGTTCCTTTGACCCGACTGACCAAGGAATCAGTGGCTTTTCATCGGGGCCCTGAGCAGCAGGTAGCCTTCGATACTCACAGACAGTAGTTGTTCAAGGCACCGATTCCCACCCTTCCAGAGGGTGTAGATGATTTCGTGGTTTACTATGACGCTTTGATCATAGGCATGGGTACGATGTTGATACAATGGGGTTACGTGATAGCAGGTTTCGGAAACCAGGTTAGAGTTTTGGTTAGGACTCAAGTTAAGTGGTGCGTTAGGTCGAGTGCATGTTCGACCCAGTTTGGAAAGTGTTGTAAGGCTATGGGGGTTGCCGTAGCATTCACTAGCAGTTAGATAGTATGGAAAGAGTTGTTAGACTACGGGGGTAGTCGTAGCATTCACTAGCAGTCAAATAGTTTGGAAAGTGTTGTAAGACTACGGGGGTAGCCGTAGCATTCACCAGTGGTTAGTTAGTATGGGAAGTGTTGTAAGACTGTGGGGGTATCCGTAGCATTCACTAGCGGTCAGATAGTGATAGAGTGTCGTGAGACTACGGGTGTAGCCGTAGCATTTACTAGGTTGGTAGATGGCATGAGCTTGCTGTTCGAACGCGGAAGGAACAGTTGTACCCAAAAGTTCAGGTGCAACAGTGGAGATATGGAAATCCATAGATTGGATTTCGGTGTTACCTAGATGGATTATATCTGTTTGAGCCAGTGATAAGACTGTAGGAGTGCCACTACAGTTATGGGACCAGGAAAGCAATGGACCGTATAAGACTGCGTGAGACATTAGGCTACCATTGGTCAGGTAGCAATCATTTTTAGTCTTGGATTGGATGATGACAACATTCGACGCATGGACCCGATCAGTTAGATCAGAAAGTAGTAGCATCGTAGTGGCATGATAACTAGTGGCAACTAGTTCTAGAGAAGGGTATCGTTCGGAAGTCGTGAGAGACGGTCCGGAAATAATCTTTTTCAAGACTTTCTCTCCTATGTTGACCTTTCTCTATATTACCTTCTAAGTGGGAGCT